TGATTCGGTGACTGGGGTAATCGGGATGGGTGTGTCAGATGCAGTGCGGTTGGCGCAGGATAGAGCAGGGGTTAGGGCTGTTGTGCATAGGGTCGCTATGAGTCACAAACGACTCGATGGCACATAACAACATCATCTGTATTACTATGTTAAAGATATTTTCATGTATCAGGTGGTGCTTTTTTAACGTCTTGCATGCACAGAGGGAACCAGAGACGGAATACTATCTACAAACATTTGACTAACGGTGCCTAACTAACTGGTCTGACTTAGGTAAAACCTTGACTTAATGACAGACATAGGAAAGGAATTCACTAGTAATCTCAAGACTCCAAATAAGCTAAATTTAAGGCAAAACAAAGTGCTTCATATAACCACAACATATATGAAATCAGAGCAAGCAACAAGTCCAAAACACTAAACTAAAATATATATACATATATATTTATTACTGGGAATAATTTGGTAGTCTGAAATTGCAATTTTCTTTCTAAAAACCACCTACAATTTGGACAGTGTATTTCTTCCTAGTGGTCTCTTTTCTATTTGTGGACTCTGAATGTCTTCCCAGCAGACAGACCTGTCACAAAGAACCTTATCAAGTGCCTGTAAGCTTGAAATGCTATCGTTTTCATAGCACCTCATCTGAACTCAAGTGAGTTAAAGTTCTATTTCTGAAACTGCAACAAATCAGGAATTTACTGCCTTCTTAAGCATATCAGGCACATATCTGGCTGTGTGATCTCTCAACTTACCTTCCAACTCAATGGAGTCAGCAATGGAGAATGTGCCATGCACTATGTAGTGGCCAGGACAAATAATAACAGTTTCACCTTCATAGCAGGCATTTATAGCTGACAACGGATCACTATAAAACTAGAAAAGCAACAAGAACATATTGAAAAGATAAATTTCCCAAAAGCATCCCTAGTATCCCTCCAGAAGCCTATATGTCTAACTTTGAAAATGGAATCAACACTCTGCAAGAGATCAAAACAGAAGAGCCTTAGAAGATTAGGTGAGAAACTGGAAACTTTAAAAAAAAGAAAAAGAAAGAGGCCGGCTAGTTTTTACTGGGTAATGTCTTACGCATTCTTCAAATATGGAACTAAAACCACCCTCATGACTCAACTTTCAGCCAGACATGATCAAAGGGGAAGTATATGTCCAGGGATAAAGCTCAGAAGGCAAGAAAGGATAAGAAAAGAGGATGGATGAAAATGGGAAACAGAAGAATGCTGTTACAACGTGGGCAATGTAATCAATGTCTTGAAATTGACATGGGTCAATGCAAGTGACATGAATCACTTGTCAATTCAGTGTATGAACTGTGAGATGGAAAACCAATTTACTTTTGAAATTTCACTAAAATCAAAATTTCACAATAAAAAGAAAAAAAGAGCATCAAAATTGAGTAATTATCTGCTTGGTACCCTGCCCATTGCATGCCTGGTAAACTGCTGATGAAAGGCAGTGGTGTAACTAATCCCATTTCAAAGACGACGCTCTTATAAACCTTCCTGTCTTCCTTCTCCTCTCTCTCATGCACTGCTGTAAGTTGGCACCAACTCACAGCCAGCCTTGCACTGGGTTTATAAGGCTGTAAATTGCAATGAAGATTATCCATCATTGCCCTTTGGAGCCACTGGTGGATATGAACCACCAGAGAGACACAGCTTTTTGGGTTAGTAGCACCAGCGTTTTCAAATACTTTATAGAACTCAAAGAAACCTTCAGGGAATCAGAAGGGGATGAACTCATAAAACTCTTCAGGGAATCAGAAGAGTGCAGGGGATGGGGCATCACTTGGAGGGAGACATTCGCCTCTTACCTGAATTTCCATTTCTTCCTTATAAGGTTCCTGGCAAAGCTTGTCCCTTAGCAGGGCCTGCAGTAGACCAGTCATCATGGCAGAGGAGACTATGTGAGTGACCTTATGTTCACTCACTCGGGCGCCCTTTGCTTGGATATTAGAATTTTTTTGGTAACCAAACACATACCTTAAACAAATCAAACAAAAATCAAAGCTGTTTTCAGATGACAGCTGGGAAAGAAAAAGATGGCAATCAACTAAAAATAATAAAGACGTACATACCTCAATAAAGGATTCTCAATGAGTTTTAGCTTTTGTTTCAACTGTTCGATCTCAGAATATAATTTTAACCCTTCCACCATTGAAATGTTTTCCTGCTCAGAATCAGAGTTACAACTTGACAAACTACTTCTCAGATTTAAAAACCTAGTGTAACTCTCCTCACATTGAGACAGCAGGCTGCGGTAATCAACAATTAGTCCTGAAGGAACTCGGTCTTCAAGGATGTCATAATGCCTGAAAATGGAAATGCAAGTGAAAACCCACTGCCTCTCAAACACGTTTCCTATCATTAAGACAGTCCATTTCATCTTTAAAGACCCAGTGAGAAAAGTGTTTCATAGTACATAACTCAGGTGTACGCTAAGTCTTGGTGCAAAGCATTCCATTAAGTGGAAGATAGTGAAAGTTTTAAGCTCTAGTCATAAAATTTTTCTACATTTGTGGAGTTGGACTTTAAAAAAAAAAATCCAAGCATTTGCATTTTGGAAGCATTCAAAGACCATAATGCACAATTTGTAATCACTATTTAATAAGAAATTATTTTCTTCTCATCTACTCATCTGTTAGATTTTAAATCTATTCAAACTAAGTGGGTGGTAGAAGAGATATGGTCGTCTTGCATAGGAAGTGATAGTATCTCAGACTGTTGGATAGTAATGTTCAAGGGATCTCTGGTGACTTAAGAGTTGCAGGTGGTAAGGAGCTGTGCTGTCAACCCAAAGACAAGTAGTTTGAATCTACCAGGTGCTCCAAGAAACAAGATGGGCAATCTCCTCCCGTATGTGATTCAGTGCCTCTGAAAACTACTCAACAGTCAGCCACATTTCAGCTCTAACCCAAAGGTTACTGTATTTACATGATCAAAAATTGGAGCCCAGTCAAACTTCAGTCCTTCCTTATATTTAAAGTGCTATGGCCCAAATATTTTGAAACGTCCCTCGGGGAAAAATTCTGGACATCATCACTTAAAATGTTTTGTAATTTAGATATATCTTCAACTATAAAATAAATTGATAATTACTTATAGGTATAATTTGAAATTAACAGATTTTATAATATGATGTTTCTTCTTGTTGTTTACTGCCATCGAGTCAAGCACAACTTAGAGTGACCCTATGAACAAAACACCTGAAATCTTTCTATAACTATCATCTTTTCTCCAATTTCATAGAATTTCCAGAGGCATGTGGTTTAGAAAGTGGATGCCACACCTGCTTCCAAACTTGAAACAATCTTGAATCAATCTGGGAGTTTAAAAATAATTGCTTTAGTTTTCATTTAAGAGTATGTTGATTAAATGCCTTTGGCCAGAAGTTCTCAAGCCTGGCTGCATATTATAATCATCAAGGAGTCCACTATCTCCCAGACCAATTAAATCAGACTCTGGAGGTGGAGAAGTATTTTGTAAACTTCTCTGGGGATTCTAATATAAAACTAAGGTTGAGACTTAGATCTTAGATTTTTTTTTTTTTTTTTTAGTCTTTGAACTTAGCTCTAATTAAGATGTTTCTTATTAGGGGCCATCAAACCATTTTGACTCACAATAACACAAGGTACAAGTGAACCAAACACTGCCAATCCCTGCACCACCCTCACAATCAAAGTGCTGTCTGAGCTCCCTGTCACAATCCCCTGAGCCAAATGAGAATCTCATCCAGAGTCTTCCTCTTATTCACTGACTTTACACATTTTAAGAAGGAAAAGAAAACAGCACTATATCCTAAACAAATTTATATCATGCTGTGATGAGCTCTCAAATGATGTTTAAGATAAATAAGTCATATTCCTCTACTTTACAAATAAATTAATTAGGCAGAGTTTGAAAATCAAGAAATGTGTCTGCTCTGGTTAATCCATACTCATTTAAAGATATTCTGAAAATCCACTTTGCAAACAAGAAATAGGAGTGCAAACTACTGACTGCTTGATCAGGTCAATTAAGTTCTGAAGATTAAGACTCTAATTTTAAAGTGGCTAAGCCTTTCCAATATCTATGCCAATCAGTTTATTTTTTCTCATTAGACTGATCCTTCACAGTCTGGAAGCAATGAATAACATCCGTCTGTCTCAGAACCATAAGCTTTGGAGCAATGTTTTGAATTACAAAGGAAAAATATTTATTGCACAAAATCAAAACAGTATGGTTTCATTCTCTTTGTATCTTGCCTGTTGATCACCCTACTTTCTATCTTAGCCCAGAGACCTTCTTAGACTGCCTGCATCTGATAATATTCCAGATTCTCCATCAACTGCCATACTCTCTTATGTTCACAACTAAAAACTGGTCCCCCCTTATGCTATCCCATCTGCTACTGCTGTACAAAACATGTATGTAAATAATTTGTTGTTAGTACATATAAGGCTATCAAATGGGAATGCAATTTTTTCCAAGGAAAGATCAAATCCGATAGACATACAATATTCACCTACCATTAAATTTCACCACAATCAAAACCAATCACTATTCTTTGAGAGCAAATGTGTGAAACTTGTAAATCCCAAGGTGAAAAGGCCACCAGTTGCTTCACGGGAGGATGGGCAGTCTCCTCCAGTACAATTAGCCGCTTCTGAAAACCCATGAGATTCAGCTATGGGTCAGTTCCTACCACCACCACAAGTAATAGAAAGGAAATCTGGTGGCCTATGAGCAAGAAGTTACAGTATCAAGCCAAAGGCATTTTATTTGAATCACCAGCTGCTAAAGTGGGAGAATGATGGGCAATCTCCTCCCTTTTAATTTACTGCCAATGGGTTGATTGGGATTCAATAGTAATTAACAACAGTAATGCAGGAAATATGCCTGGGGGAAAATTGGAATAGAATCAAATAGAAATCACAGTCAACCTATGAAGAGCTGAATTAAGACATACATAATTCTATACCAGGAAACCTATCAGCCAAGCTCTGCAAATATTTTTATCTATTTTTATTATCTACTATGTAAGCCAACAACATAAAGTTAAAGCAAACCAAGTTCCCTGCCGGAGCTAATCCTGGATCAAGGCGACTCTCCATCAGGTTTCCAAGGCTGTGAAGCTCAATAGGAGGAAACTGTCACATCTTTCTCCTGTGGAGTGGGTGGTGGTTTCAAACTCCTGACCTTCTTTCTGTTGGTAGCCCAACACTTAACTTACTATGCTACTAGCCTAACTGGGCTTTTCAAATATGTATAGGGTATTGCCTTATCTTATGCAATCAAATCATCTTTCACAGAGGGGGAAAAAATGTTGCTTCTACATTATTTTATAAAGTTCTCATTTTATTCTTAGTGTAGACTATTAAATTCTCTCTTGAATGTAAGGAGAAATTACCTGGTCTTAGAACACCATCTAGTGGAAGGCCTAAAGCCACATTTTCTAAGTCAGTACAGAACTCTTGCGTTTTGGGGTGAAAGCTTTCCCTAGCCACATGATAAATTAGAAGAACATGCTTAGGTGGTTTGGAAATTTCTATTAATTATTATTATTCAGTATTTTTATCTCTGTCAAATTTAAAATGAGCTTAACAAACATGCTAAGGGAAATCTGTTCATTTAATAAGGTATGTTTTGTTTGTAGGAACTTAAAATTATGTCCTTTTAAAAATTTGTTTTCAATTATAGCAGAAAAGTATTCTACATTTCAAATCCTTTTCAAAATGTCCTGTCATTAAATAAATGGGGTTTTTAACAACCTAATTCAATTGACTTGGTTCAGTTTTACAAACCAGCAAGCTATGAACAGAAAATTAAATTCTCCTTTAAAGCTCAGTTTATAAACAGTAAAAGTAGGTGTTTCTGCATTTGTACAGAGATTCCTTTGACAACTTATCACTGGGTGGTATGCAGTTCTGCTCCTATGATCCCGGCACACATGCATACAACTAAATGCAAACATTTTCAATGGTAAAACACAACTGAGATTGATTATTGAACTTTCCCAAAATGCATCAAAATCAACAAAAAGGTATTTACAATCTCAATCGAGGTTCGACACATCTGACAAAATAATCATACTCATCTTCCTCTTCTTCATCCCAGCTCCGCCAAATGTTTTGGTAGAAAAACCTGAAACAAGAAAATCAGTTACTAATTCAACTCTTAGCACAAAGTGTCCAGGTTTTGGAGGAGAGATGGTTAAGCTGTTTTGAGTCAATAACATTCTAACAACAAGAGCAAATATTATACAACATTCAAATGCCCTGCCATCACTAAATACTCTTTACTTATAAGAAAGGGACCTTCCTTGGATCAGCTAGAGACGTTTCTCCACAACAATGGTTCTATTAGAATGTTGTTTCCTTTATTTCAGAACTATTTCTTGATCCTTTCTAATTGGGTGCATAGTACTATCACTCACTTACTAGGGTAAGAAAGACTCAGCAAGGAAACAGTTTGGGGGTTGTAAGAGTTCCCGTATACCATGAATACAAGTTGAAATGTCTATCTGATCTCCAAGTAGATGACATAAAATAGGCAGATGAATATTCAAGTCCAAAGCTCAAGGAAAAAGTGAGAACTAGGGATATCAGTCTGGGCTTTGTCAGCAATACTTGAAATCACCTAGGGATATACTATAAAGCAGCAGTTCTCAAGCCTGGCTGCACATTAGGATCCCCTGGGGAACCACTTTAACACGTTGCCACAAATGATGGCAATACATCGAAAAGAAAAAAAAAGTGTTTCTAAGCACTGTTGTCAATTTAAAAGTGTGCGGCAACGTGTTAATCCATATTTTTAAGTGATTTTTCTTTAAAACAAAAAAATCACATTTTTGTTTAAAATTAAACTCTATAGTTGACAAAAGACAAAGGTGCACCTGATTCAAGCCATAATCATCCTCAGTTGCTTCCCATGCATGTGGAAGTTGGACAATGAATAAGGATAAAAGAAGATGAATTGGTATCTCAGTTGATAACTCCCTCTTAAACCACTTACTGTACAGATCACCTTTTCCTCATTGAAGTTTAATGGATTCCAATATTATTAATTTTACTGAGAATATTCTCATCATGTTATTTCATCTGTTCTTCTATTATCTTTATTTCTAGTAAAGTCGGTAGTTAGATGTAGTGACTAGATGAGCTCCAGGCAAGATTTTTTGGCATGAAAACTTCAGGGGAGGTATGAAGTATTTCCCTCAGGACACACATGATGCCCAACTTTCTCTCCTTTTACGACTGAGCAGTGAATTTAGGTTGTCAGATTGATCCACCCATTACAAAATGTCCATTCATTTCTCTTGGATTTGGTGGCCTCTAGTGATTACTGGCTAGATGTTTTATTCTCTCTCTCTCACTGTCATTGCGTCCGAACACTCCTAGCTGACCCTACAGTGGGTTTTCAGGGGCACCCACTCATCTGGGAGGAGACTGTCCATCTTTCTCCCTCAGAGCAGCTGGTGAATTCGGACTACCTCCCTATGGGCTGGCAGTCTAATTCCTTACTAGGCCACAAGAGCTCTTTTTTATTGTTGTTGTGTGCCAGCCAGTGAGTCAACTACAGCTCACAGTGACCTTGTGACCCTGCCCCATCCTCACCATCTCTGACCTACTTGAGCTCACTGTTAGTTACCATGTAAATCTACCTTGTTAAGGGTTTTTCCTCTTTGATGCTGACTCTCCACTTTCATTTTATTGTTGTTGTTATGTGCCGTCGAGTCACTTGCGACTCATAGCGACCCTATGTACAACAGCCCTAAACTCTGCTCTGTCCTGTGCCAATTGCACTGTCTCCAACACACCCACCCTGATTACCCCAGTCACTGAATCAATCCACCTCATAGAGGGCCTTCCCCTCCTGTGTGGACCCTCCACCCTCCCAAGCATGATGTCCTTCTCCAAGGATCGGTCTCTCTTTACAACATGTCCAAAGTATGTTAGACAGAGTCTTAGAATCCTTGCCTCCAGGAAGCCGCCTGGTTTAGCCCTTTTCAGGATGAATCTGTTTGTTTTCCTAGCAGTCCATGGTACCCTCAATACTCTTCTCCAGCACCAGAGGTCAAAGGCATCAATTCTCCTTCTATCCTCCTTAGTCACTGTCCAACTCTCTGATGCATAACAAGTGATAGCAAAGACCATGGCCTGTATCAGAAACACCTTAGTCTCCAGAGAGACACCATTGCTCTTCAGTACTTTGGAGAGGTCCCTAACAGCAGACTTTCCCATGGTAATGCATCTTTTAATTTCCTGGCTGCTGGTGCTGAGAGTGTTGACTGTGGAGCCAAGCAAACTAAAGCTGTGAACAATCTCAATCTCTTCACCATCCATCCTGATGCTGCCAATTGGTCCAGTGGTGAGAATCTTTGTTTTCTTGACAATGAGCCTCAATCCACATGGTAGCAAAATAGTAATATTTTCATTCTATCATTCCTTTTTCACATATTAATTGCAATGTTGTTGTTGTTAAGTGCCATCAAGTCATTGGCAACTCATAGCAACTCTATAAACAAAAAACCTGAACACTTATATAACTTCCATCGTTTCTCCAGGTTCTTAGTTTCCAGAGGCAAGCCATTTCAGAAGTGGATGCACTCCAGCTTCCAAGCTTGTTTTAACTGGAGAGCTCCACCAAACACTGTCCACCATGGGTAACCATTATCGCATTTGACACATCAGTGTCATGGTGTTCAGCATCACAGCAACCACGAGTTACCTCTGTACAGCAAATGGACAGACCAGTACTATACTACTTAGAAGAATGTTTGATCAAAAACAATTAAAATCGGCCTGAGGGCCACAGATTAAAATCACTCATTTTTGGCTTAGTAGCATCATTTTCTGTCCACTAGGCCAATTGAGCTCTATGTTTTTGATTAATTGCAATGCTACATAGAAAATCAAGGAGGGATGAAGGGCAGACTTTCATTCATAGGGTTGCTATGAGCCACCTACGACTCCACGGCACTTAACAACAACAACAACAACATATAGAAAATGCGGGAGAAGGATCAGCTATCTCCTCTCATGCAATTAACCACCTCTGAAAACCCGCCAGAGGGTCAGCTATGGATCAGTTCTGAGTCAATGACACACAACAACAACAAAAATACAGAAAACACACAGGTGATTCTAATGTACTCCAAGATTGATTACAGACAAGGACCTTCCTCCAGAGGCAACAGAGAAAAGCCTTCAGCTGATATCCTGAATTCAGACATCTAGCCTTCTAAAAGGTGAAAAACTAAATTCCATTTGTAAAAAAAAAAAGACTGACTGCAGAACAAAAAGAGAACATGGCCCATGACCGGGTCCTAATCAACTCCAACATTTTAATGTGTGAGCAGGAGAGAAGCCCATTCACCACCAAGAGGGGAAGCCACTGAGAGATCAAAGGAATGACCGCCCCAGAACCTAAGAGAGGAACGTGTTAGGAAGACAGAAGCACACAAATCCAGCAATTCCACTCCTAGGGTGGTGGTTGTTGTTTTGTTATGTGCCATCAAGTCACTTGCGACTAAACCCTGTCCTATCTCTTGCCAATCTTATTGCCTCTGACACACCTATCCCCATTACCCCAGTGACTAAATCAATCCATCTCATTGAGGGGCTTCCTCTCCTGCACTGTCCCTCCACCCTCCCAAGCATAACGTCCCTCTCCAAGGACTGATCCCGCCTTGCAACATGTCCAAAGTATGTAAGACAAAGCTTCAGAATCCTTGCCTCCAAGAAGCAGCCTCGCTTCACCCTCTCCAGGACGAACTTATTTGTTCTCCTAGCAGTCCATGGTATATTCAATACTCTTCTCTAGAACCAAAGCTCAAAGGCATCAACCCTCCTTCTGTCATCCCTAGTCATTGTCCAACTCTCTGATGTATAGCAAGTAATGGCAAAGATGCTGGCCTGTATCAGGCGCACCTTAGTCTCCAGACTGACATCACTGCTCCTCAGTACCTTGGAGAGGTCTCTGACAGTAGACTTTCCCAATGCAATTTGTCTTTTAATTTCCTGGCTGCTTGTACCAAACACCTAAGATTTAAAAATGGAAATTCAAACAAATACTTGTGTACAAATGTTGAGAACAGCACGATTCACAATAACCAAAAACACAGAAGTAACCCAAATGTTCATCAATGGATGAGTGTGCAAACAAATTAATAATATGTACAAATAATGGAACAGTCGCATAATCACTGCCAGCAGGTAGATTCTGACTTAGACCTGCCATATAGGACACAGCAGAACTACTTCACTGAGCTCCCACAGCTAGAAATCATACAGGAGCAAACTGTCTCAACTTTCTCTTTCAGAATAGCTATTGAATTTAAACTTTTTGGCTGTTTTAACCACTGCACCACCATGGATCTCTAGGAAATGCACAGATTCGGTTGTTTAAATAGGCAGGAGTCTTCCCTGGGGGTGCAAATGGTTCACACACACAGCTGTGAATCACAAAGCTATAGGTTTGAATTCACTCAAATGTGCTTTGAAAGGCCTGGCAATTACTTCCAAAAAAATCAGCCATTGAAAACCTTACAGTGTACTTGCTACGTTGACAAAAGAAGTTGTCATAAGTAAAAATCAACTCAGTGGTTAAGTGATTTGGGGTTTTCTGTTGTTGGCTGGTTGATTTTCTACCTAGTTTGAGGATATAACTCCTCCTCATAGCACTCACTGCAGCTGACGTGTCCATGTGGTTACAGCCTCAAGGTTAACCTCCTGCCTTAATACTGACAATTCCCTAGTGATGGCAATTTTGTCTGTTTTGTGCAACATTCTACCCTCAACTAAGGACCCTGCACTCAAATATTTATTGAGTAGAAAACTCTTCCTGATTTGACTTTCCCTTGGCACTGATCTGAATCCTCAAAATGAATATATTTAGCCAAACTTGTATTAACATCATTACTAATTCCAGATACTTGCTTTTCTACCAACTGCTACCAGCCATAAAGAGATAAACTCCCTCATTCCTCATTTCCTAGAATCTTCAATTATTGCTTTATCTTCAAGTCTTTAATTGCTGGATTTATATATTAAAAAAAAAAGATAGAAACATAAGTCTATAAAATTATTTCAAAGTCATTACCAAAATAGTGAGCATATAAAAACCTTCAAAAGAATTCCCTATCTTTGAATCGTATAAAATACACTAATAATTAATTAAGTTTAAAGTATGAATATTCAATCTGCATCAAATCCAGACCGTTTCTGGACATGGGTTCCTTTTATCAATTCCCTTCCTACCTGACATGCTCTACTGCAAGCGCTGTCTGGTCAAACAGTCCGGACTCGTCGAAGACCACCCACAGCTCCTGCAGGGGCAGCTGATGTTGCTTCAGGTCTAGAAGCTCGTTCATACACTCAGTGGTGAAAGTGCTCATTTGTGACTCACAGAGATACGGCTTGGCAAGCCTCACCACAGCCTTCAACGCCGTGAAGTCTACATCTGTGACCTGAAATGTAAAACGATAGGGCTTGCCCTAATCCATGGACAATCAAAAGGAAGACACAAAGAAGAGCCTGATTTTTCCAAAAAGGATGTGAGGAGGTCAGGGGTCCAGGTGCCAAGGAAAAATGCCTTCCATAATATAAAGGATAAACAAGACAAGCTAGCGCTTCCTTTCATGAAGCTTATACTGGATTGGTGTTGGTATACAGCCATCCAGTCGATTCCGACTCTTAAAGACCCAATGCACTATAGTTCTAAACCCTGCTCTACTCTGAGCCAGTCTCACTGTCTCAGACACACACACCTTCATTGCCCCAGTTACTGTGTCAATCCATTTCATCTGGAGTCTTCCTTTCCTGGACTGTTCCTCCACCTTTCCAAGCATGATATCCTCCAAAGACTGGTCCCTCCTGGCTACGTGCCCAGAGTACGTGAGTGGGAGTCTCAAAATCCTTGCCTCCAAGCAAGGCTTGGTTTCCCCTCTCTAGGACAGACCTGTTGGTTCTCTTGGCAGTTCATGGTATTGAGGAGGCAAATAAATAAGTAAACAGGATGATAACAAGTATATGACAGAGAATAACCACTAAGGGTACCTGGTTTTGCTAGGATGATCAGAGGAAGTCACTTCTGAGCTGAGGGGATGAAAAGGGATCAGCAATCTGAAGAGCCACAAAAGGTACAAAGGCTCTGTGGTGAAACAAGCTTGGAAACGGGGGAGTATGAAGAGAAGAGATAGGCACAGGAGACGAGCTGGGGAAAGACAAGGAGACCTGGGGGTGACGGGTCTCAGCAGGAGTGTAGATCTCCCATGTTCCTACTGCACTGAGAAGTCATAAAACCAACTGGGCCCTTGGTAAATGCTATAAGCATTTTAAGTACACAGCTCTTTCAAAAGAATGACTCTGCTTTACAGAGCATGGTTAGGGGTGGGGAGGGGATGGACACACTCTATCTAAGCAATCTTATAGGTCTGAACAACCAAAGCACAATCCACTATTTTAGCACAATTCAAAATTCTAAAATTCACCTGGAACAGATGCAAGCCACTGTTTGCGTTATGTGCCATCAAGTCATTTCTGACTCTTAGGGACCCTTCAACAGAACGAAACACTGCCTAGTCCCTGCAATCATTACCACGTGAGGCTGCTGTGGTAGACACACCTGTTTTGTGAAAGGATTTGCCCTTTTTTTATTGACCTTGTACTCTACCAACTGTGAAGTCCTTCTCCAGGAACAGGTCCCTTCTAATGGATGTGAGGTAAAAATCTCCTCATCCTTCCTGCTCAGGAGCATTATGGTTGTACATCTTCCAGGATGAATCTGCTTGTTCTCCTGTGGTCCCTGGTATACTCAGTATTCATCACCAGCGTCGTAACTCAAGGCGTCGACTCTTCCCCGGTACACCTCACTGCTGAGCACAGAATCTCTGGGGTCTGCAACGCCGCTTTCTAAAAGGACTGCAGTAGCAACTTGCATTCACACTCCCTAGTTTAACATTTTAGTTTAACAGGGATTTTTTGTGGTCCAGTTAACAAACACTAAGAAAAATTCACAGCTGTAATTAGAGTGCAAATTTAATGTAAAAGGCCCAGTCAGTTGAAAAATCAGATTGTTTTTTTCCCTTTCTGCAGTGGAACACATTATCGAGAGATTAACCACATCTCTACAAATTTGTTAGGCAACAAATGGGCTCGTTTTCAACTGCCTGTTTGGTTTGAGCTACTTAATGGACTACAACTAAGAAGGTAAAAAATTAATTGGAACTCCAATGACTTCATAATTAGATCTATTTTTTTAAATGATCACAAATATCTCCTCCACTTTGAAGATTTCTAACCTGTTTCCCATATCAAAGGACGTTGAAACGTAACCCACCTCAGTTCCCTGGCAGCTGCTCCTCAGCTGCTTGTAAGGTTTACAGATACTTTATACCATAAGGAGTCTTGGTGGTACAGTGGGTAAAGCGCTAAGTTGCTGAGAGGCTGGCAGTCTAGGCCCACCAGCTACTCCACAAGAGGAAGATGCAGTAGTCAGTCTACTTTCATAAAGATTTACAGCCTTAGAAACTATTCGAATTCCAGTGTGTCCTACCCGGTTCATTATGAGTCAGAATCAACCAGACGGCAGCAGCTTTTTTTGTTGTTAGAAACCATGGCAATTAGGGGTAGGAAACATGCTATTTTCAATCAACTCATAGACTTTAATTAAAAACAAGCACTCTGGCTATTGCAGTCTGAAGTCAAGTGCTTTCCAGCTAGAGGTAAATACTTTTAGCTAGAGACAGACAACAGAATGCAAGTTACCTCAACCAGCACCTTGAACACAGTGGTGTGCCACACTGCCTGCCATCCAGATGGCTCAAGGACCTTCTCCAAGAACTCAGCCGTGAATTCTCTAACCTCGGAGGCCTTGCAGTCAGCTACGAACAAATAAAACACAGAGTTAAGACTGCATCGAGCAGAGAAAAGTTAATAAATCCCTTAGGGCCAACTTCCACCAGAACCAACATATCTGAGGGACTGTCCACTTTACACAAAAAAAGGAGAGGAGAAAAAAAGAGAGAAGATTTACTCACCTAAAATGTAATCTTGATAGGCTCTGAATCTCTCGTAGAACAGAAGTTGACTTGTTTGGAAAATTTCAGGGAAAAGTGTTTTACCTTCTAGCATAACACTTTGTAAACTAGTACCTGTCTTATCATCATTGCTACAATCACTGCATGAATCTTCACCTTGGCACAAACCTAAAAGAAGAAAAAATAAGCAGTCTCAACTATCCCAGACATATACAGTGCTATATACAGAGCACTGTATTTCCATTTTCATATCCTTGCTTGGAAATGCCAAACAAAATACAAGCTAGGATTTGAGTAGGCTGCTTAATCTACCTGTCATTGTCAGAAAAACTAGTATTCCAAACTTAAAAACATCTCAAAATCCAAGTTCTATTTTAAAACAGTAAATACAGTAACCGGTGAGGGGTTTTTGTTGTTCTGAGGGTTGGGAGAGGCAGAGAAAAGAGTTGTCTGTTTAATTCAGTGGAAACCACCCCAAGTTCCTCTCCAAGTTACTAAGGGGCCCGAAGGGTACAATGGTCTGCAGCTGGAACTAACCAGAAGCTCCATGGATGAAAAGACTGGGTGATTCAATCCTACTGAAAATTGGTGTTGGTGGTGGTGCCATCGAGTACCCTACGACTCACAGGATCCTATGTATAATAGTTCTGAACCCTGCTTTATTTTGAGCCAATCTCATTATCTCTGCTATACCTACCCCTATTAGCGCAGTCACTAAGTCAATCCATCTCATCCAGGGTCTTCCTCTCCTGCATTATCCCTCCACCCTTCCAAGCATGATGTCCCTCTCCAAGGCCTGTTCCCACTTTGCAACATGTCCAAAGTAGGTTAGACGGAGCTTCAGAATCCTGGTCTCCAAGGGGCAGCCTGTTTTCACCCTCTCCAAGATGAACCTGTCTGTTGTTCTAGCAGTCCATGGTATAGTCAATAATCTTCTCCAGCACCACAGCTCAAGTTCTTATCTTTGCACTGAAGACTATACCCTATTAAACAGTTTGTTATAGGGCCAGTCACTAAGAGTCAGAATCAACTTAGTGGCATACAAGAGCATGATCTTTACTGGGTAGTGACAATGGGTGGTTTAGTGGTGGAATTCTCATCCTCTATGCAGAAGATGAAGGTTCAGTTTTCAGATAATATACCCGGTGAATAGTTACCACTTGTCTGCCAGTGAAGACCTTCATGTTGTTACTATGATGTCGAATAGTTTCTAAGAAGCTTCCAAAGACTTAGGAAAGCTTGCAGTATGAAGACTTGGTGATACACTTCAGAAAAACCAACCAATAGAATCTGCACAGATCAACATGTGACCCATCCCCCCAGTCCATCATGGGGATGGCAATCCCAGTCCCCAAGATGGCCGAGAACTAGAGGTAACACAGGATGGAATGGGGGTTATCAACAAGATAACAGCTAACAATAGAATCTTTTCTATGACTAGCAGCTTAATATGGTCAAGAATCTTGTAGTCACTTCATTCCCCCCCCCAAATAATCCTGTAAAATGGCAATGAAAATAGGAATATAACTCATTTCTACAAAGCTTCTCCCATGAGCTGAAATCTGCTTTTATTTTCTACAAACGGCTCCCTAATAAACAGGGATGAGAGAGTCTTAATAATGCATAAGGTTTACTTCCCTAAGGCTACCAGGTTCCTCCTCACTAATCTCAATGGCTCTGCTAAGGAAAAGATTAGAAAATGCTAATCACATTAAGTTTGGATCTTATGTAATTATGTTTCTGAAGATATGAGCCAGTCCGTGGCATATCTAATACTGTGTAATAAGATGTTTTTAATAGACAAGACCACTGGTAAGTAAACAAACACGCTGGGCAGAAATGAAATTAGTGGAGTACTTTCCAGCTAGAGCTGAGACTATCACAAGTCACAGTTTGTTAAGCGTCCCCCTTTCTTTTCTCCTTTCTCCAGTCTTCCTGTCCCAATCCAGGCCACCAGAATTCCTTGAGCTCACAGATGACCCAGATGTACTCAAGGACAAATACCTATGCACAGGCACACTGAAGAGCATCCTACCTCATTTCCTCCATTTCCTTAGCTAGAAACCCAATGTGGATTCACAGCAATCCTCCATGGGATCCAAGGCTGTAAATCTGAATGGGAGCAGGCCAATGCTGGCCCTTCTGAGTAGCAGCACAACATGTAATGCCATATACCACCAGGGTTCCTTTTGGCAATAACACCAAATCAAACACATTGCCAAGGAGCTGACAACTCTTTGTAACCCTCCTTTGCTACGTTGTTGTTGAAACCAAGCCATAGCTGACACTCTGGTGGGTTTTCAGAGGCAATTAATCACACGGGAAGAGATTGCCTATTCTCCCATGGAGCAGCTGACAGCCTCGAACCGTGTGTCTTCGGGATTGCTGCGCAGCTTCTCGCCACGAGGCCATTAGAGTTCCTTAAACAGTCTGTTTTTCTGGAGGAGATTGTCCATCTTTCTCTCATGGTACAGCTGGTGGAATGAGCAGTTCACATTTCAGTTAGCAGCCCAGCATACTATATACAACACCACCAGAGGTCTTTTCTGGCTCCAAAGCAAAAAGAAAAATGGTATTCTTACTTCAATTGAAAGACTTAAATAACAGATTCCATAACTTGGTAAGGGTCTCAACTCACTTGCAACTCACAGCAACCTATGCACAATAGCTCTGAACCCTGCTCTCTCCTGAGCCGATCTCATGGTCTCTGACACATCGGAGACAGTGTGATTGGCACAGGACAGAGCAGGGTTTAGGGCTGTTGTACACAGGGTCGCTATGAGTCGAAAGTCGATGACACATAATAACAACAACACCAACATCCAGTCACTGTGTCAAATCTCATCCAGGGTCTTCCTCTCTGGCACCCTTCCAAGCATGATGTCCTTCTCCAAGGATTGGTCCGTCCTGGTAATACGCCCGAAGTTCACAAGACGGAGCTTTAAGATCCTTTCCTCCAAAGTGCCAACAGTTTGCACTTTGTGGTAAGGAATTGTGCACGCAACTCGGAGGCCTGCAGTTCCCTGCGGATCGAATCCACCAGCAGCTTTGAAGGAGGAAGACTCCTTCCATCTCGTCCCCTGCAGAAACCCGATGGAGGATCAGCTATGAGCTGGTTATGATTTGCCTGCAAAAGTTGACAAATGGAGCCTGCAGAGGCTCTACAGGAAATGCCTGGCTATTTGCTTTCTTGGTGGCACAGGTGTTGAGCGCCAGGCTGGACAGTTAGAAGCCACCAGCCAGCTGCTCCAGCGGAGGAGCGCGTCTGTCCTCGGCCACGGACCCTCGGCCACGGACAGCCTAAGGGACAGTCCCAGTGACCTCAAGGCATGAGCCGCGATCAGCTGGAAGGCGGGTTAGGGCCTGATAAGATCTCAGCGAAGCAAGCTCAGGTCAAAGGTTCAAGGTTGCTCTTTCTTTTGGGGGAAAAAAGAGTGGCTCACAATCTCTTTTGAAATGCAGATGAGTCCTTTTTTTTTTTTTTTTTACAGATAAACGCTCTTTACAAAGGCCGCCAGAAGCGGCCACGCCCGGGACTTCCTGCCTCACGCCGGGGAAACCGAGGCACGAGCGGGCGAGGAACGAGGGGCCCCGAGAAGCTGTGGACCCTGACCTGCCGAGTGCGCGAAGCCTCGGGGGTCGTCCCGTCTTTGACGTCCGCAGAGCCGCCCAGGGCCGCACACAGCCAGCGGTGTCACCGGGCAGGGGGTCCGTCCGCGGGGGCCCGCCACCCCAGAACGCAGCTCCGAGACGGCAGCTCCGTCCCCCACAAGGCGGGTACTCACCTTCCTCTAGACCAGCCGCCGCCTCCTCGGCCTCCCAGCCGGTGCCCTCCAACTCCGGCGCCATCGCCTCGGACCCCAGACCCTCACCGGTCATCAAACTGGTCGCCATTTCAAATTTCCGCGGGTTGTCGCGTCGGCCCCCGTGACGAGTTGACGCGAGCACTCCTGATTGGCTAGTCGGGCAGGCCTTTGGCCAATCAAAAGATGGTTTGCCCCTTGCCCTGTTTCCGCCCTACCGCTCTGGCTCCGCCCATCTCCTTCCTGAATTCTGACTGCCTGAAAAGGCCCTTCATGGACCAATGCTTTGGGGGGGGGCAGTGACTTTGTGTATTCTCTTCTCTTCTCTTCTCTTCTCTTCTCTTTCCTTCTTTCTTATTCTCTTTTCGTTTTTTCCTTCTTCTTCTTCTCCTCCTCCTCCTCCTCCTCCTCTCTCCTCCCTCTTCCCTCCTCTCTTCTCTTTCCCTCTCTCTCTCCTCCTTCTCTCCTCTCTTCTTTCTTTTTTTCCTTTGTAAAAGACATGTAGGGGGATTCAAGAGGGTAAGGTGTGGGAGCAGAAGAGTGAGGATGGATAGGGATAAAATCAAAAGGTTGCACAATGTGGTGGTGGGAGGTTCTTGTGTATTTCTGCCATCTTCTTTTGATGCTTCCTGCATCATTCAGATTTCACCCAGAGAATCCTTCAGTATTGAAACCCGAGGTTTGAATTTTTTCTTCATTCTTTCAGCTTGAGAAATGCCTAGCCTTTTCTTCCCCTTTGATTTTCTAGCTTAAGCTCCTTGCACATTTCATTATAATACCTTGCTTTGTCTTCTTTGCCCTTTGAAATCTTGTATTCAGTGCTCTTACCAAGACCCTCTATGAGGTGGATTGATTCAGTGACTGGGGTAATCGGGATGAGTGTGTCAGAGGCAATGTGATTGGCACAGGATAGAGCAGTGTTTAGGGCTGTTGTACATAGGGTCGCTATGAGTCGCAAATGACTCGACGGCACGTAACAACAGTTTTGACTTCTTCTCTAGGATTTCTCCAAGGTTTTAAAGAGCAATGATGTCCGTTTAAAGACTAGATCACACCTCATCAAGCTATTGTATTTTCATTTGCTTCCTATGAACCCAAACGTTGGAAAGTGGATAAAAATGACAGATGAAAAACCGTTGCCTTTGAATTATGGTCTTGGCAAAAAAAAGTATTGTTTATGCCGTGAATTATGAAAAGAACAAATAAATATCTTGAAGGAAGTGCAACCTGAATGCTCCTTAGAGGCAGGCATGGTGAAATTTCATCTCACTTACTTTGGGCATATTTTCAGGAAGAACCAATCCCAAGAGAGACATCAGTCTGGGAAAGGTAGAGGGTCAGTGAAAGACCTTCAGTGAAATGGATTTCACACAGTGACTACCGCAATGCATATGAACATGACAGACAGGAGGATGACTCAGTGTAGAGCAAGAAGGTCCAGATCTGTTGTTTGTCGTGTCATGAATCTTGGTGGACTTGATGACGCCTCACATCTCCTCTCCTCCCATGCAATTGACTGCCCCTGAAAACCCACTGAAGGGTCAGCTCTGGGTCTGTTGCAACTCTCCAGTACTGTAGAACAAAAATAGCACTGTCACATAGTTTCTGAGGCTGTAATCTTTATAGGGACAAATCACCAGGTCTTCTGCAGTCTTGCTGGTGCCTTCGAGCCACTTAGCAGGTGAGAGCTGAGCCTTCAGGACTCTCCTACCACAGGTAAAATACCTGCACTTAATGCCTTCAAGGAAAACCTTGGGATCTTGGGATAGGATCTTTCAGATCCTTCAAGCCAAAAGAATATGAAGCCAGGAGAAATGACTGTGGTAACCTACACTTAATTCAGCTAACTTTGTCTTTTCAAAGGAAAGAAGGTGTCTTTGACTCTTGTCTGCAGATTCAAATCTTATTTCACTGAAAAAAATGTTTTCAATACTATGAGAGATTTAACTTGAAAATGTTATGCCCCAAAGCCAGTTCCCCCCCAAGTCACCAAGGAGCCGACACCGATGCAAGGGCAAGAGGGAATTTATTTCAGATTCGAATCCGGGAGTGTTCCAAACCGTGCCCATACAACAGGGAAGATGGCCGCCATGGCGATTCTGGGCTGTCCTGCCTATTTAAAGGGGAAAGCCCGTGAGAACAGGGTGATACAGGATTGGCTGATTCAAAGGAACTGCACGAAAACAGGGTGATACAGGATTGGCTGATTTAAAGGAAGGGCGTGAAAACAGGGTGATACAGGATTGGCTGATTTAAAGGAAGGGCGTGAACGCAGGGCAATACAGGATTGGCTGATGTTTGGGTGGGGGCTCTTTTCCCCCTTTCCCCACCTCTTTCAGTTTACTGCTCTAGAGGCATATATATTTTAAAATGACATGTTGGTTACAAAATGGAGTCCCTCAAAAACAGATAAAATGTAAAATCAAGACTTGCCCAACAACAAAACCTGTTGTTTTGTTGGGTGTTGTCAACTTGAATATTATGGGAAGCCAAACTTTATACCAAATATTATATGAAAACCCTTGTTCAGGAATTAAAGGAATTACAAATTTATAAGTTAGGATTTCTCTGGTGACAGATCACAGAAAATGAGCTGTTTGTTCCCTGCAGACAGGAGACAGCTATGGCCCTAGAGAAGGAGTGTTACTTCCTGAGCTTGAGTTCACCCTGAGGCATAAAGGCAATCCTTATGTTGTTGTTGTTGTTGTTGTTATGTGCCGTCGAGTCGCCTGCGACTCATAGCGACCCTATGTACAACAACCCTAAACTCCGCTCTGTCCTGTGCCAATCGCACTGTCTCTGACACTCCCATCCCAATTATCCCAGTCACTGAATCAATCCACCTCATAGAGGGCCTTCCTCTCCTGCACTGTCCCTCCACCCTCCCAAGCATGATGTCCCTCTCCAAGGGACATAATCCTTATGGGTATACCAAATTCTTGCATTTGCTAACCCCTCCCTCCTGAGTCAAAGGGAAGGTTTTCAATAGAAAGAGCTTGGCTTCATTTACAAGGAATTCCTTTTATTATTTGCTTCCCTTGATTATCAATAAATACACAGAGAAACATGACTTGGGGTCTTCAGTCGAGAACTGCAGCCCCCCTGTTTTATACTCTCTGTTCTATCTCATTCCTGACTGTCTGATTATTAATAATTATAAAAGTACTTTACCCTCGGTCTGCAACAGAATATGATTTATAGGGACACTATGAACAACAGACCTGACGACCGTCCTATCCTGAGCCATGCTCATCATCTCTAACACACCTGAGCCCATTGCTACAGTCAATCCACAAGGTCTTCCACCCTTTTGCTGGCCCTCCACTTTTCCAAGCTTAATGTCCGTTTCCAACAAATAGCCAGCTCCTTTCTCATAATTCTTTTTACCTCTCACTCTATCAAACCCATTGCCTTTGAGGTGATCCTACTCATAGCCACTCTACAGACAGAGAAGAGCTGCCCCGATCTTTGCAGAGAAGCAGACTGTCACATTTTTCTCATATGGAGCAGCTGTTGGTCTTGAACATTCCAGTGAGGTTTTGTTGACAGGAAATTGCTTAACCACAGTGCCACTAGGGCTTCTCACAAACCCCACACAGCAGCTAAACCTCCAAAGTTTGCCTATGATTAAAATTCCCTGGGCTCCAAAGCCATGAGTAAGGCTAGCCCGCCCTGTGGCTCCTTTCGTGCCCATTTCATCTCACGCTGCCGCCACAGCCAGGACTGGATGAAGAGTATGAATTCTACTGCAACAGGGCACCGCAGGCTGGTCATCAGCATCAATCTCAGTCAGGGTCAGTGATGGCTGTCTCTATGCTGATCCTTCTGTCCCCAAAGCAGCCCACTAGCTTCCTCAAAGGCAGACATAGACTTCAGGGTGTGAGTCATTGTACAGTTGAAGACTTGAATGGCATGACAGGCAGGGGCCCTCTGTCAGTCATTACTGGACCTTCTTGTGAATGATTTTTCTGAGAGGTGATTGGGACTAAAACCAAAAAAGTGACAACTGTTGAGTCAATAGTGACACACTGGCAACCCTCCATCAGGTTCCTGAGGCTGTGGCTCTTAAAGAGAAGAGACTACCCAGCTTTGGATTCGAACTGCTGGTTAGCATTCAAACACTATGGCCCTAGAGCTTCTTTTATGGGCCAAGACAGACAGTGCATGTTCCAGCCAGGAGAAGAGAGCAAAGTGGACCTTTCCCACCAGGGGGAGGCTTGTCCATCCACGTTCCGTTGTTGACGCTCTATGTGGGCGCAGGCTGGGCCCGAGCATCTTCACCAGGAGACGCTGATAGCCCACATCCTCTCAGCTGCAATAAACGAAGGGATGCTAGCTCCCTGTCTCTATGGTTCAAGTCTGAAAACAAAGGCCAGGTCCGAATTTTGGCTTCACTTTGCCACTAGAGGGCAGCTTGCACTTTCAAAAGAGCAGCCTGCAGCCTTTTGTGGAGAATTGAGGAATCCTTTCACCATTGTGAGGCAACAGGCCCTGTGTGACCACCACCCCCCACCACCACCACCAAACAAGACGGAAGCCGACAAAGCCAGACTTTGCCTAGTGAAGTCAGGAGGCCAATGAGTGTGTAAGCAGAGCCTGGGACAACTGCAATCAAGGCCGGAGCTGCTGGTCAGGAGAGGATACCAGGCAGAGTTGTCTGGATTCACCATCTGTCTGCCACTTTGTCATATTGTGGTGACTTGCATATTTCTATGATACTGGGATCCTTATCACTGGCATTTCCAATACCAAGCGGTTCCCCCATGGTGAGTAGGTTTCAGTAAAGCTTCCAGACTAACACAGACTGTTGTTGTTAGGTGCCATCCAGTCAAACATGAATCATAGCAACGCTGTGAACAACAGATCGGAACCCTGTCCCATCCTGTGCCAACATCACATCTCTGACACACTTGAGCCCATTGTTTTAGCCATGTTAATCCACCTGGTTGAGGGTCTTCCTCTTTTTTGACAATCATCCACCTTTCCAAGCAATTGATTTGGATTTCCTCTCCAAGGAATACTCTTTCCTAGTATACTCTGTCCAAAGTATGTGAGACGAAACTTTATCACAGGTGCTCCAAAGAGCACCCT